AGTTCACCCACCACCTCAGGAGACCCTACTACACTTTCACCATCCCTTGGCTTCATCAACCTAGGACTCTCATGGGGAGACTCATCGCCTCATCGGCTGCACTCAACGCCTACAGGGGCGGTCCCTCAGCACACGGATCTCGGGCCTTAGAGTAGGGCCCTCGGGCTCACTAGCGTAGCTCTCGCTACTATTGACTGACGTGGTAAGACAAGGCAAGAAAGCGCCTGACTCTTCAGGACATTCAAAGCACTCAAGACCAAAGACAGAGTAAGACATGGTTAAGGTTTATGCCTTTACCTAATGGACAAGGTCTCTGAAAGTTAAAGGGCAAACTAAGATGATGGCCGAGGTCTTTGAAGGTTCAAGCTGGAGAAGGCAAATGGTGAAGACTATCTCAACCAACGCCCCATTTATAGAGAAGCAAACGGTTCAAATACTTTCCTATCCAACGGCCGCAGAGCAACCAACATGACAATCTGAACCGACATCTGACACGTGTTGCTCACCTTGGGAAGATAAAACGATGTCAAGCGGCTCACCTGGTTCGTCCGTCAGCTCTGGACTAGAAGCAACTCAACCCGGTCGACCCGACACCCATCTCGCATATGGTCACAACCCGACGTCCGTCTCACGTACGGTCATGACCAATCAACACCGAGACCCATAACGTGTATGGCCATGACCCGACGCCCATCTCGCGTACAATCACCACCAATCAACCCTGAGACCCATCTCGTGCATGGTCACCACCAATTTATACCGAGACTCGTCTCATGCACAGTCACCACCAATCGACGGCTGCACTTGTCTCGCACACGGTTATGGCAAAAGGAGACAACACTTGTCTCATCCACGATGGCGATCAGCCGACGCCAACGCCTATCAGCTCGTACCTATACAAGGCACGGTACCGACCCCTCAGCCCTCCGTTACATTTCCAAAAGGTGTAGGCAACTTCAAAGCAGCTGCCACTAGATGACTAAGGGAAGTCCTCAGAAGCCGAAGCTGAGGTTGACGCCTCCACGCTCTTGAGCTAAGGCTATCTCCATAGAGCAGAAGTCGATGTCCTTGCCAGAACATGCCACTTAGCACCTCTCAATAATGATGTTGCACTCTCTTCGGTCGAAATCGAGGTCCCCACGAAGACCTCCACCGCAACCTCAAGAGTGGGGGGCAAATGATGTAGGCACACATGGTTGGGCACAAGATCGCGCCACATGGCACCAACAAGATTGCATCCTACTTGTCCAATGCTAACTAACTCCAAGCAAGTTCAGCTATAAATAGGTGGCATCACTATGAGGTAATCCATCTTGGCATTTATTGCTCTAATCTCTCTAGTTCTCTGGTGACCTTGTCTGAGATATACTCGGGCCTCGCCCGACCCTATGTTATGCCCTTGCTAACTTGACTGTCGGAGTTTCTGCCCCTGTGACAACACCCGGGGCCTCTGACGTGCTTTGTGATCCTTAGGTCGGACCTTGTAGCCTTCGAACTCATCAACCCTCGAACTTACCAACCCTCAGCTAATGGAAGCATAATTATATTGTTTCCCTTGGCCCATTCTAGTCAACAACAAGTTCATTTATAGAAAGGCTCCATGTCTGAATATTTGTTGATAGTCAAGAATATTGCATTTTTGTTTTGTATTGCAGCAGCGGGGGTAGCTGTTGCGATACCAAAAGGAGATCTCCCCATAGAGCACCCCAGGTGCAAGTGGGATTCCACAACAATAAAAGACTTTACCAATCAGCTAGCTGACACTTTGCTAGAATATAGCACTTAACCAAAGTTTAAAATTTTGTCATGTATCGGCCTGTATTGGCCGATACATACCGTTTTTCGACTTACCGGCATGAGAGACGGTCCTAAATTGCAAGTACCATCTCTTTTTTCCATGCCAAAACCGTATCGAGTTCGTATCGGGCTGGTATTGGCCAGTTTTGTTAAGTTTCGGCCGATACACGACGAGTTCACTTATGCAGAAATACGAATAAAATAACCTTCAAAAGAGGGCTTCTAAACCCATTTCAGAAACCCTCTTTCTTCCCCAAACTGTACAGAAACTTTCTTCACATTCCGAAAGACTCAAATCTAGAAAAAACCTATTAAAACACCTACAAAATTGAAAGATCCAACATGTTTTTCAAGGTTGTTTAAATATGAGCGAAAATAAGTATACTTTTTCAAAATTTTTTACATTTTTAGCCAATGTTTTTGGTTTTTTTTTTTTTAGTTTGGATGCTTGAAAACATCTTTGTGTATGTTGATATGCTATTCTTGTGCAAAAAATCCCACTTATTTTGCTGCTATATGTAGATCTTTGTGAATATTTGAAGAAATTTCAGAATAGTAAAAAATCTGAAAAAAAATTTAATTTTTAGGTTTTTCTTGTAATCTACCTCTAGAAATTGATTATGTTGTAGATCTATGGATGATCTACCATGTCCATAGATCAATTGCTTTTTTTTTTTTATTTTCGGAATATATACATACATACATACATACATACATACATACATATATATATATATATATATATATATATATATATATATATAATTTATTTAATTTTATCTGATCTAACCCTATAGGCTGAGTATGTTGTAGATATATGGATGATCTACCATGTGCATAGATCAAATGATTTTTTATATATATATTTTTTATTTTTCGGAATAAAAATATATATATAATTTATTTAATTTTATCTGATCTAACCCTATAGGCTGAGTATGTTGTAGATATATGGATGATCTACCATGTGCATAGATCAAATGATTTTTTATATATATATTTTTTATTTTTCGGAATAAAAAGATATTTATAATTTCTTTAATTTTATGCAATTTAACCCTATAGGCCAAGTATGTTGTAACCTATGGATGATCTACCATGTCCATAGATCAAATCCATTCAATTTTTCTGTTACCTACTTACTTTTCTGAAATTTAATTTAAATTTTAGAATAAAAAATGAAAAATAATTATTTGAATAAAAATAAATAATTAATTAGTTTTTAGAAATTAGAATGAAACATGCCATATAAATTACTTGATCTATTATGTCCTTAAATCCATTCAATTTTTCTGTGTTTTCTGTTACATATTCACTTTTCCTAATTTTAATTTAATTTTTATAATAAAGCAAACAAAATAATTATTTGAATAAAAATAAATAATTATTCTGTTTTTAGAAAATTAGAATGAAACATGCAAAATAATTACTTGATCTATTATGTCCATAAATACATTCAAATTTTCTGTTACATAATTACTTTTCTTAATTTTAATTTAATATTTAAAATAAAACATTTGAAAATAATTATTGGAATAAAAATAAATAATTATTCAGTTTTTAGAAAATTAGAATGAAACATGCAAAATAATTATTTGATCTATTATGTCCATAA